ATTCCTGCTCTAGCATGGGGGTTGGAGATCCCTTCCAACCATGACAACTCTAGGAATGCAGGATATGGTGGGGAAACACAGAGCTCACTCCCACCGCCCGGCAGGCGGAGGCTGTACAGGAATATTCACTTTGGAATCCCACAAGCCCAGGGAATATTAAGAGGTTAAAAGCTGTCTGGATGCAGACATTTTCCTGTTCCTGCGCTGCAACAGCTGCCTGGAGCTGGTGCTGCCCAGGCCAAGCCCTCACCTGCAGCTTGGAGTGGTTGTACAACCAGCGCAGCGCCGCGCAGGCCAGGCTGGGCACGTTGGAGCCGTACGCCTCCTTCAGAGCTCTTTCTACGAGGGCAATTCCTTCAAAATTGTGCTTCTTCCAGTACCTGCAAGTCAAGAAATCACTCTTATTGCCCTGGGGACCCTTAGGGAACTGTATGGCTACATTCCAATTAAGTATAAGAGGCTTTCAGGAAGCCTCTTACAAGTTCTGTAGCCTCTGAGGACTTGTGCAACACCCCTGGGGAAGCTGAGCCTCAGACTCACCCTGCAAAGCTCAGTCAGGAGCTGCAGCATAACCACATGTGCCAACACAATCACTGTGCAAGCTCTGGTCAATTCTGCTTCCTCTCAGCTGATTATTAATGTGGTTTGTTTTATCTAGCCACTCCTGCTGCATGTTCAGGCTCATCCCTCAGCTCAAAACCTACCTGTCCCTGTAGGCTTGTGCCCAGTCATTCCCAAAGAACCTTCCAGTTGGCTGACGTGTGTCTTTGTCCTCATACTTGTACTTGCCAGTCAGCAGCCCTCCTGCAAAGGGTCAGCAGCACCTTTAGGGCTGGGCTGGCTCTTTTACAGCCCCCCTCTCACCTGCTTTTGTCTCAAAGTCTCTCCCCATCCCTGCCTGTACCTGCCAGAGGGTTGTAGGCGTAGAAGCGCAGCCCGTAGTACCTCAGGCAGGGGAACAGCTCAGCCTCCACCTGCCGGGTGGTGGCGTTGTACATTCCCTGCACAAAACCAAGGGAGACAACTTCAAAAGCCAGAATGTTCCACCTGGAATTGCTTTTTCCCCACCCTTCCCTGTCAATACTCTCATCCAGAAGAGCAGCTGCAGGTCACACAAGGTCACTGCTGGCTTAGGGTCTGTTTGAAAGGATTGCAAGCGATGCAAAAACCGTTCAGTTCCGCATCAGGGAGTCACTGGCTCAAGCAACAAACAACTCAGCTGATTCCAAGAAGTGATCTCAGCTTCCTCAGCACGTGTGCCTTGAGAAGACTTCCCAGACAACTAGTTCTGAGCTCCCCAGTTCAAGAGAGAGAGGGAACTACTAGAGTGAGTCCAGCTGAGGCAACAAAGATGACTAGGGATTGGGGCATCTCCCTTATGAGGAAAGGCTGAGAGAGCTGGGACTGTTCAGCCTGGAGAGGAGAAGCCTGAGGGGAGACCTTATTAATGCCTGTGAGTATCTAAGGTTGGTGCAAGGAGGATGGAGCCACTGTTCAGTAGTTCCCAGCGACAAGACAAGGGGCAACAGGCATGAGATGGAACAATGGAAGTTCCATTGAAATAGGAGGAAACTCCTTTACTGTGAGGGGCGACAGAGCCCTGAGACAGGCTGCCCAGGGTGGTTGGGAAGTCCCCTTCTCTGGAGACATTCAAATCCCCCCTGTGCTCTGCGTGATCTTGCTTTAGTGGGGAAATTGGACTAGATGATCTCTAGAGGCTCCTTCCAACCCTGACAATTCTGTCAAGTCCATCAGCTTCCTCGTCTGTCTTTACATCTGGGGCTGAACCAAGATCTGGGGCTCCCAGACCTTTCCCCACAGTGACTGACAAAGGCACAGAGAACCCTCCCTGTGCTGCTCTGACCTGAGGCCTTTTGGCTTGATTCCCTGCAGCCTCCAGGTAAGATCTGCTGGGCCCCCCTCCCTCACCTGGTACACAGTTGGCATCACCCAGTTGTTGTATTTGCAGATGGTGCAGATTTCAGCAACCTCCCATGATGCATAGTTTGAGAGACCAAATTCTTTAAACTTTCCCTGCAGAGGAATAAAATTATATTCAGTTCCAGGTTTTTAAACTGCATTTGTACCTAGACAGTTCGAGATGTACACAGGGGAAAGGACAAACAGAATAAAGGAATTTTACCCCAGAATTCTTTCCTCATCCCTGTTCATCTCTACTACAGGACTATGAATCGTAACACCTGACAAAAATATTTCTCACATTCTGTTAATTTTGAATTCCCACTTAAATGGCACTATTAGATTAATACAATTCAGGAATTCTTCACCCACTGCCAGTACAAATTTCAGCCTAGTCAGTTGACAACAAATTAAATCAAAGTTCAGGTGTTCTAATGTTTCTGAGAACAAAGTGCAGCACAAGAATATGCAATGAAGCATCAACTGTTTGGCTTTGCCCTCATCACCCAGTGTCCCCTCTTCCTGGTGTTGTGCAAGCCCAGAGAGCTGCAGACAGACACAACAAGCTGCCCTGGTTTAAAAAGAGTGATGAGTGGGAATCACAAGATAGTCCAGGCCTGGCCTTTCCCACTTTACTTCTTTGTGCAGCTCATTGCAGGCACGCAGAGTCTCCTCCACTGGGGTCCCATGGTCAGGAGCATGGAGGTAGAACAGCTCCACGCTTGTCCTCTTCAGCCTCTCCAGGGATGTGTCCAGCTGTGACCTCACACTCTCAGGCTTCAGTGTCTTCCCATCCCATGGGTTGGCCTTGGTGGCAATTTCCACTGGCAGAGCAAAAGAAAGAATGAGCAGGGATGTTTCCACCTCCAGGAAGGGAATGGAGGTAAGGGGTATCTCAGGGAAGGCCCCTTTCCCTGGAAACCATGTCAGCCTGGCAGGGTAGAACCCCTTCTCCTTAGGGACTGCAGGTCTGCCCTGGAGAGGGGGACGCTTCTCCTCCAGACCCAAGGGTCAGCACTAGCAGGGGAGTCCCTTCGTCTCAGGGACAGCATCAGCCTGGCAGGGAAAGCCCCACATTCTCAGGGAACCGGCTTGGGAGAAGTCCCTTCTCCTCAAGGAGGGTGTCAAGCCTGGCAGAGGAGACCCTTCTCCCCAGGGAACGGGCCCAGAACATCCCTCCTCCTCAGGGAGGGCGTCGGCCTAGCAGAGACCTTTCTCCTCAGGGACTGGGCCTGGCCAAAGTCTCTTCAGGGGCACCGTCAGCCGGGCAGGGGAGGCCCCTCCCCTCCGAGAACTCGCCCCGAGGAAGCCCCTTCTCCCGCCAGGGGACACCCCTGAGCCCGCCCTCCCCCCTCAGCCGTACCGGGCTCGGTGCCGCCATCCAGCAGCGCGCCCAAGATGCGTTCGGACTCTCCCCCCGCGTACATGTGCGCGGTGTCGACGCGGCGGTGCCCGCGGCGCAGGAAGGCGCGGAGCAGCTCCGCGCT